CGCTCCAGAGAGCTCCAAGCTTCCGGCTGAGTCACGGGGAAGGTCAGAACCTCGAGATGAGGCTGAGGACTGAGTTGTACCCACATCACTTCCTGCTGATACCCCAGGCCTGCAGCGGGGGATGGGCCCTGCAGGTGTCTCTGACAGCCCCAAGCCGCCCCCCTCCAGCCTCCTGGGAGCCCTGGACAAGCCACTGGCTCAGGCCTGCTGGGGTGGCTGCAAAGGTTTCATCCCACCTGGGAATAATGGCCACAGCCTTAGGCGGCCTGGCTTGCTCTGTACTGGACTGACCAGCTGGTGGAGGATGAGTATGGCCAAACATGGCACCCTCCGTCGCAGCGTAGACGTTAAAGACGGACTCCAAGGTGTGCCAGCATGCACAGGGAGCCGCCGGCACAGTCACCCCCTCCCTGGCACCTCTGCACAAACAGCACTCCAGAGCAAACACACAGGCATGGACAAGCCCTGTGGTGGGGCACGCAGACACACACACACACGCACACACACACACACACGCACATGCACACGTGCACGGGCAGGCTCAGGCAGGGCCCCACACAGACGTCTGTGGTATAACTCTGGAGGTGACCCCAGGCACTGGCCACTCAGAGCACCACAGAGCAGGGACCAGCATGAGACCCAGCTGACACCCTTCCCGTTTTTGACCTGATGCTCTGCGACTGGCCTTGAGTCCCCCTCTCTGAGACCAGGTGCAGGCCTAGGTTAGAATCACTGGGCGCCAGTGTTTTAATTAAGCAGGAGGATGAGGGAGGCGCAGCTCCTCTCTGCCCTGCTCCCCAGCTGCACTCGCTGGGCTGGATTTTCCTGCAGGGCTTGGGGTTTTGTTTTTGATCCACTGGAGTGCTGACCGTGTGCCAGACGCCATGCCAGCACGGGGAACGTGCGCACAGTTGTTTTGGGTAATCAGTCAGCGAACGTGGCTTATTATGTGTATTGTTATTTACATACATAATCTCGTTTCTTCTCATAACAACCTCATGAGGCGAGGTGCTATTATCCCCACTTTACAGATGAGGAAAGTGAGGCTCCACGATGTTACGTGGTTGGTCCTGAAGGCAAAGGGCTCGTAAGTGACAGGCAGAATTTGAATTCAGGTCTCTGCTTCTAGAGTCTGCGCTCTTGATCTGTCTCGTTGAGACTCCCAGTTGGGAAGCCGGCCCAGGTGACGTCCACGGGGCAGGGGGGCTCGTGTGGGACAAGGCCTTCAGGACACCATGGCTTTGAGAGGTCCAGGGCGGGGAGACTCAGGAGGCGTGTCCCCAGAGTGGGAAGGCATGGTGTGAGGGGCCCTTCGCTCAGTCCTCTGAGGCATTTGTGTCTCTGCGCCATGTTCCTATACTCCCAAAATGACGGGAGGAGGGGCGGGGACCTGGAGCTGCTGGCTGTGTGGGGGGCGGGGCTGGAACCAGGGGTGAGCAGCTGGTGCCCTGCTGCCCCTCCAGCTGGGCTGCGCTCTGTCTGCGTGACCTTTGGCAGGCTTCCCCGCCCTTCCAGGCCTGAGTGGGGCCAGGCTGCCACCTGGGCTTCAGCTCTTACCTCTGACCTTTGGCATTTCTATGTTATCTGGACAGATGCCAAGAGCTGCCTCCTGCCCAGACTGAAGTTCTCCTCCGCAGGCAGACAGGCATGGGCAGATTGGGGCCAGCCCGTGCTTTCAGGACACAGGAGGGATGCAAAAGAAAGAAGGGGCCACAGTAGCCACTTGCCCTCATCTCACTGACCCCTCGGGAGGCTGCTGTTCTCCTTTTTTGCATTATCCCCACGATGCATATGAGAAAACCCAAGCCCAGTGACGTGCCGTGTACCCTGCAGAGGACCCACCTGCGCTTCCCTTGGAAACTTCTGCTCCAGAATCACCGGGGAGCTTGTCAAGCAGAACATTGTCAGGCCGTCTCCCCGGTCAAGAGCATGGGAGCCAGGCAGGCCCCGCATCTGGAGTTCAGATGTTCTGGGTGATTTTGCCGTGCCCCGCAGACTGGGTTCAGGAAGGAGACCTCCTGCGCCAGCCTCTCTTTTGCTGTGTGGCTTTGGTGTCATTGCTCAATCTCTCTGAGCTTTGATTTCTTCGTTTGTAAAGTGGGGCGAGCAGCAGTCCCCACCTCCTGGGGTGGTTGGGGGCACGCAAGGAGTTAGTATCTACAACACATTCAGCACGCACCTTCCCACGCGGACCTCGGGTGGCCAGCGGGAGGACTCTCTTGAGGGTGCTGGTTCTTCCCAGGAGCAGAGCACAGAAAGGTCAGCTCATCAGCACAAAAGCATGAGCCACATGATCGGGACCCAGCATGCTGGGAAGTCTTTGGTTCGAGAAGTGGGAGGTTTGTGCTGGAAGCATTCCTTGGGCCTCTTTGTGTGCAGAGCGCCCCTAGGACGTGGTGAGGACTTAGGGGTGTGAGGCAGAAGGCCTAGGGTCTCCGGAATCACAATGGACTTACACTGGCTCGACCACAGCTGTCCTGTGTGGTTTCAGCAGCAGAGTTCGGGCTCCGGCCATTAGGTGGGACTCTCCCCTGTGAATTGCCCGTGCAACCCGCTTCTCACTGGGTTCCAGAAGGGAGGCTTGTCACCGGAGTGTGCTCTGCCTCTTGGACAGCGAGGATAAGGTGACTTCATTTCCCTTTTCTCTTCAGCCCCTGGAGGCTCAGCACTGAATGTATGACGACCTATGACCTGCGTATGGAAATTTGTCCCTCCTGTCTGGTTTCAATGTTTTCTTCAGATTTTTTTTTTTTTTCCTCTGCTCCCAATTTTAGTGTTTCTATTTCATTACCTTCTTTCCTTTGTGTTTCCTCACTCTTGTGGAACCAGGCTGGGGGTATGTAAAACCGCTCACTGTGGAGACACACACAAAGCGTCTTCACAACCGCTCTGTTGGCATGTGGCCGGCCTACCGCTTCCTGCGCTTCATGAGACTGTATTTGTTTGCGCGGTCATAACCCACTGGTCAGTTAGGAGATGCCGGAGGTTGGGCAGGGTGGCTGCTTTCTGCTTGTTTTTCTTTTCATATCAGCTGCTTAGAATTTTTAAAATAATTTCTCTCCCAATCTATTAGTCACTCTGAGCACAGATGATACCCTGGTGGATAGATGTGTTTGTGTTTACTTCTTCCTCTCCTCTCTGATTTGTTTCTTGCGTATCACACAAGGGTAATAAATCTGTAGCATCCAAAAATGATAACAAGTGAAAAAGGGAAAGAAAATTCCCTGTGATCCCACCAGGGCTACCACTTTTTTTTTATCCTCACCTGAGGACATTTTTTTGTTCAGATAGAGTTGGAAGGAGGGGGAGAGAGAGAGAGAAAGAGAGAGAGAGAGAGAGAGAGAGAGAGAGAGAGAGAGAGAGAGGTGAAAGAGACACATTGACTGGCTGCCACCCACACGACCAAACCAGGGCCGGGGACAAATTGCAACTGAGGTACGTGCCCTTAGCGGGAACCAAACCCGGGTCTCTGTGGACCACAGGCCGACGCTCTAACCACTGAGCAAGACTGGCTAGGGCAGGGCTACCACTTTTCATCATTTTGTGATTCATCCTTCCAGATTGCTTTTTCTATATTTATTTTTTTCCCCACACAGAAAGAAATAGACTCTAACTAGACGTACTATTTTATAACCTCTAGTTTCACTTACTGGTATGTCATCAGTATCTTCCCTTGTTACTACATATTCTATAACGATGAAAGATATTTAAGATATTTAAAATTGATATCAAGGATGTGCACAATAATTCTTTTTATAAGTATAGGACTCATCATGAAAAGCAACAATTGCCTCAGTCTGCCCCAGCCCCAGGCCTGGCTAAAAGGCACAACTTTTTTTTTTTGTAATCCTCACCCGAGGATATTTTTACATTTATCTTCAGACAGAGTGGAAGGGAGGAAGAGAGACACATCGACTGGTTGCCACCCCCGGCCGGGGACGAACCTCCACTGATGTATGTGCCTTTGGCCAGAATCGAACCCGGGGCTCTTTGGTCCACAGGCTGGTGCTCTAACCACTGACCCCAACTGGCCAGGGCTAAAAGGGACAACTTTTAACCACTTGCACTTTTTGTTTACAGTGGTTTTCTTTGTATGTTTAAGTAAAATGCTTATACTCCTCTTTCTTGGCTTATCTGACGTACCGATTCGCTGCTGAGAAAAATAAGGCTCTGTAGCACTCACACCCTTTCCCAGCTCCTCCAAAACATTTCCTGCCACCCTATTTGGTTGCCTTTGCAATTTAAATTAATGTGCATAAACCTCAGATTCTTGTCCCCTTAACCGATGATGATGATGACAGTATCTTGTGGCCCTTTGCTCTCAGAGGATGATAAAGAGACTCCACGCTCCTAACTGCCCTCGTCCCCAGCATCACAGTGTCTGTCTGTTGTACGTTCAAGTTCCTGAGGCCAAGGTTGATATCAACGTCCTGTTTAATCATAGATCTTCGTGGTCACTGTGGGGCCAAGGGGTGGGCTGTGCTTACAAGCCCTTCTCTTCGGGTCACACGCCACGCGACGGAGAGTGTGGAATTTCCCTGCTGTCTTGTATTCTGTTATGGGCTCAAAAATCATCACTTTGTGTTTTAGTTTGCGTCATGTTTTGACCATGCCTTTCTTATGTAACTTTGCTTGTTTTTCTGGGTCTTCTGGAAAAAAAAAAGCATCATTTTTACCAGCTGCTAGTGTTCTATCCAATGAAGTATTAGGATTTATTGTCACCCAGCCATCCGTGGTGGGACATTTAGGTTGATTTGATTTTTCATGAATGTGAATGGTGCTGTAATTCATGTTCTTTTCCGTTCATCTGTGTGCCTCTGTTTCTTGCATAAAGTTTGCCGGGCAGGAATGCTGCTCCCCTGTAAGCCTGACCCCTTGTCCCTAGCCCCTTGCCACCCATGGCCTTGTCGACCTCCCTTCACTCCAGTTGGTCCATTCCAGAGGTTGGGTTTTTGTGGGAAGGGTGGGCCCCCAGGTAATGCCCATCTTCCTCTCCCCAGGCTCTGAAGAGCGACCATTCCTCAGATTCCAAACTGAAAACGTCTCCAACTACACGGCCCTTCTGCTGAGCAGGGATGGGAAGACCCTGTACGTGGGTGCCCGAGAGGCCCTCTTCGCGCTCAACAGCAGCACCAGCTTCCTGCCAGGCGGGAGATACCAGGAGGTGGGAGATGATGCCCGAGGCCAGTTAAGCCAGGCAGAGGATGGCAGTGGGGAAGGTGGACGGGAAGACTGATCGCCTGGGTCTGGGGATGATGCAGACGGAGAAGGGAAAGGGGGGGGAGGCAACCCCTCCATCCCCACATGCACACTCACCTGCCCCCTCTCATTCCCCAGCTGCTGTGGAGCGCAGATGCTGAGAGGAAGTACCAGTGCAGCTTTAAGGGCAAGGACCCACAGGTGAGCCAGCGCCTGAAAGGAACCTGGGCTGCAGGTGGGATGAAGGGTGGTGGACCTGGACCCAGGACAGCAGCAGGAGTGGGAGCAGATGCAGCCAGCTGTGGTGGGCGGGCGTGGGCTTCCGAGATGGCCAGAGCTGGCTCTGAATCTTGGACAAGTAGATGTGCTTCTCTGAGCCTCCGTGTCCCCACCTGTAAAATGGGTTAGTGATGCCTGTCTCACTGGACCCACCGTGAGTGAGGATTCATTGAGGTCCAGGTCTAGGCCACCCAGCTCAAGGTGAGTGCCCAGTAAATGTGAGCTTCCAGCAGGAGCAGCAGTTGGGTGGGGACAGGAGTCGTGTCCCTCTGCAAAGGATGCCAGGTGTAGCAGGTCTGACCGATGCTTGTTTGGCTTTGGTCAGACCAATAGGGGCGGGTCTGATGCAGCCTGGGGTTCTCCTGGAGGACTCCCCACCATTCCCTGGTCCTGAGTGCCTCGGGGGCAGCTAAGATGAAGGCAAAGAGCACCAGACTTGGGATCAAGACCTAGGTCCATGCCCTGGCCTGTTTGGCTCAGCGGTTAGAGCGTCGGCCTGCGGTCCAGAGAGACCCGGGTTCGGTTCCCGCTAAGGGCATGTACCTCGGTTGCAGTTTGTCCCTGGCCCTGGTTGGGTCGTGCGGGTGGCAACCACTCAATGTGTCCCTTTCATGTAGATGTTTCTCTCCCTCTCCCTCCCACTCTATCTGAACAAAAAATGGAAAAATGTCCTCGGGTGAGGATAAAAAAAAAAAGACCTAGGTCCATGTCCTGACTGCCCCTCACTTCTTTTATTTAGCACTTAGTATCCAGTAAGCACTTGCTTTAAACACTGGAGATACAACTGTGAAAGAGTCAAGAAAGAACAACAGGCAAAATCCAGTCAGTTTAAAAGGTAGTCAGGTTACACACTTCATTTAGAAAAATGACATCTGCACCCTGGCTGGTGTGGCTCACGTGGGTGGGCAGCAACCCGTGCGTGCACCAGGAAGTTGCTGGTTCGATTCCTAGTCAAAAGCACATGCCCAAGTTTCAGGCTCGACCCCCAGTAGGGGGCGTGCAGGAGGCAGCTGATGGATGTTTCTCTCTCACATCAATGTTTCTCTCTCTCTCGCTCTCCCTTCCTCTCTCTCTAAAAATCAATAAACTATTCTTAAAAAAAAAAAAAAAAAAGGGTGGCAGCTGAGCCAAGAAGAGAAGGAGGTGAGGGAGTTGAGATGGGGTACCTGGAGGAGGAGCAGGTCTAGGGATTTTATTCTGAGGGGGGGTGTTTGGAGAACCACTGGAGGGCCGAGCAGAAGAGTCACATGGCCCGGCATATGGCAAGAGTGGCCTCCGTGTGGCAAGGACAGAGGGAGGGAGACCAGCGAGGGATGCGAGGTGATGGTGGCCCGGACCAGGGAGTGAGACATGGTCAGCTTCCCGATGTTTTCTGAAGATGGGGCCACCGGGATTTCCTGATGCAAAAGTGCCGGGTGTGAGAGACAGGAATTTGAGGCTGGCTGGAGGTTTGGGGCCTCAGCAGCCGAGAGGATGGAGTTCCCATGAATGAAAAGGAAGGATCTTGGAAGAGAAAAGTTTGAGAGCTCTCGGAAGCTCAGTTGGAGGCACTATAGACAAACGCAGAGGCTTGTCCGTGAGTCCGGGGCCAGGGTTCGGGCTGAGTGTCTCCTGCTCTGAGCTGTGGCTTCTTCCCCACGTGGGTTGGGAGGGACCATCGTTTGGCTCTGAGGTTCTGAAGAGGACCTTCAGGGGCCCAGACAGCCCAGGAGGACGCATTCTGTGCCTCACCCCAGACTGAACAAAAGGTTGCCAACCACAGAACTGGCTGAGCCCCAAGGTTCCCCCTGCAGCACACGCGTACATGTTTGCGGTCCTTGGTCAGCGAAGTCCAGGAGGCTCCTGCTCCAGGTTTCTCCTGACTCGCTGCTTCTCCGCCAGCACTGGCCTTGGTCTCGGTGGTGCCCTCTGGTGACCGGCTTGGGCCTGACACCCTCTTCCTCTTTCCCCAGCGTGACTGTCAAAACTACATCAAGATCCTCCTGCCACTCAACAGCAGCCACCTGTTTACCTGCGGCACCGGCGCCTTCAGCCCCCTGTGCACCTACATTGTGAGTCCCCGTCCTCTGCACAGGTGGCCTGGGAACCTCCCAGTGTTCTGCCCCAGGGAGCTGTTCTCCAGCACCCATCTCTGGTGCAGAATGAGCCCCCCCTCCCCGCAAGGCTTCTTGGTAGCTTACAGCCCACCTTGCACACTCCTCCTCAACACTCTCATACCCATGCGTCTCTGCCCTGCGCACACCTTAGGCTGTGGGTGGGAGCACACGCCTGGAGCCAGACCTACCTGGGTTGGAATCATTGCTGCCCCTTCCTGGCTCACATCTTTCTAAGCCTCGTCTCCCCTCTGTCAACTGGGATGAACAGTGCCCACCGCAGGTCACTGCCAGATGGGGCTGGCACTGTGCCCTGGGTGCCAGGATGGGGAGAATGGTCTGTCTGACCTCTTCGCCCGCCCCCCTCCCCGGAGTTGCCTTTCTCGGTATCCCTTCCTTTCCTGCTGAGCCTACCTGTCTGCCCCCCTGCAGAATGTGGAGAACTTCACACTGGCCCGGGACCAGGCGGGGAAGGTCCTTCTGGAAGATGGCAAGGGCCGCTGTCCTTTTGACCCCAATTTCAAGTCCACAGCCCTAATGGTTGGTGAGTGTTGGGGGCAGGACGGCCTCGCTGAGACTCCATGGGGGTGATGTGCAGGTGTGACCTTGGGCTGCCCTTGGGTTTTGCTTCCCCCAGTTCCTGCTCCCTCCTCTGTGCGCCCCAAGTAAGGTGGGCAGGGCTGGGGTCACTGCAGGCTCTGGGCCAAGAGAGGGGCCGTGCTGAGAGGTCGTTCCCATGGGAATGTTTTCTTGGCAGATGGTGAGCTCTACACTGGAACAGTCAGCAACTTCCTGGGGAATGACCCGGCCATCTCCCGGAGCCAAAGCCGCCGCCCCACCAAGACTGAGAGCTCCCTCAACTGGCTCCAAGGTGAACCCCTCCCACTGCCCACCCATGGGCTGGCTCAGGAGCCCTGGCGGGGGGCGCTGGCCCCCAGCAGGGCCTGAGAACAGAGCCCTGCCTGTTTGGAATTCCTGGGTTGACTCTGCGCTCCCTGCTGGCCCCCACAGACCCAGCTTTTGTGGCCTCGGCCTACATTCCCGAGAGCCTGGGCAGCTTAGAAGGTGATGATGACAAGATCTACTTCTTCTTCAGCGAGACCGGCCAGGAGTTTGAGTTCTTCGAGAACACTATCGTGTCCCGCATTGCCCGCATCTGCAAGGTGAGGGCATGGGCCACCCAGAGCCCCCAAAGGCTGCCCGGATCCAGGGTCAGGGAACACCTGCTTCTGTGACCTTCTCTTCTTCTCCAGGAGGAATGGCCCAGCTAACGGCTTTTCTCTCCTTGTAAATCAAAATACCTCATGCTGTTTATTCTTATGTAAAAAATGTGAAATACAGCCCGGCTGGTGTGGGTCACTGGTTGAGTGTTGACCCATGCACCAGGAGGTCGCCAATTTGATTCCCGGTCAGGGCCCATGCCCAGGTTGTAGACCCAATCCCCAGTGGGGGCATGCAGGAGGCGGCCAGTTGGTGTTCTCTCTCATCGATGTTTCTGTCTCTCTCTCCCTCTCCCTTCCTCTTTCTCTAAAATCAATAAAGAAAATATATTTTTTTAAAAAATGAAATACAGAACAGAAAAGTACACACAGATACGACAAGATAAAGAGGCAGTGTAGTATCATGATTAAGAGTCTAGGCTCGCCCTGGCCGGTTTGGCTCAGCGGTTAGAGTGCCAGCCTGCGGTCCTGAGAGACCCAGGTTCGGTTCCCGCTAAGGGCATGTACCTCAGTTGCAGCGTGTCCCCGGCCCTGGTTGGGTTGTGCGGGTGGCAGCCACTCGATGTGTCCCTTTCATGTCGATGTTTCTCTCTCTCTCTCTCCCTCCCACTCTATCTGAACAAAATATCAAAAAATGTCCTTGGGTGAGGATACAAAAAATAAAAAAGAGTCTAGGCTCTGTGCCCTGGTCAGTTTTGCTCAGCGGTTAGTGTCGGCTCTCGACAACCAGTCAGTGTGTTTCTCTCACATTGATGTTTTTCTCTCTCCGCCATCCCTTCCACTTTATCCAAAAATGAATGGAAAAATATCCTCGAGTGCGGATTAACCAAACAAAAAGAATCTAGACTCTGGAGCCAGGCTGCCTGCACTGAACCCCTGCTGGCTGTGTGAACCTGGGCAAGTCCCTTACCTGCTCACTTACAGTCTCTGGTCTGTTCAATGGGAATAATAACCAGCCTGCCTCAGAGTTGCCATGTGGATTAAATTAATCCACGGAAAGCTTTTAGGCATGTGGTGGGCCACAAACTAAATGCTGACTATATGTTACATTCCTGTCGCCCCACCATAAGAACTGTTAATGTTCTAGAAGGTTCCTTGCTAAATTTTTTTTTTTTGCCTATGTATAAATACATATATTTATATTACTAAAAAACTACTCACAAACGGGAGTTGTACTGTGAATGCAGTTCTTCGGCCGGAAGTCATGACCTCTTTCCATGTTCGTAATAGAGTCCCCGTTGTTCACAGTAAGGAAGGCACTGCCGTTCACTTAGCCTGGTGACGGTACATGTATGTTGCCTCTGAGTCTTCTTGATTGTAAATGGAGCTCAGGTCTGCTTCAGTTTGCCTGCCCTCCCAGGTGTCTGTCTCAGTTACTGCTGGGGAGGGGACAATGAGGCGCACCCAGCCCCCGCCTCGGAGCCTGAGCCGCCCTCTCTCCCTCTCCAGGGCGACGAGGGCGGCGGGCGGATCCTGCAGCAGCGCTGGACGTCCTTCCTGAAGGCCCAGCTGCTGTGCTTGCGGCCTGACGACAGCTTCCCGTTCAACGTGCTGCAGGACGTCTTCACCCTGAGCCCCAGCCCCCAGGACTGGCGTGACACCCTCTTCTATGGGGTCTTCACATCCCAGTGGTAGGGCCACCAGACCTCGCCGGGGATGGGGGGAGGAGGGGTGGCTGGCCTCATCCTGAGCCCCGGGGCTCTTGGATTCACGAGCCATTTCTTTTGTAGGCACAGAGGGACCACAGAGGGCTCTGCCATCTGTGTCTTCACCATGAAGGACGTGCAGAGGGCCTTCAATGGCCTCTACAAGGAGGTGAACCGTGAGACGCAGCAGTGGTACACCGTGACCTACGAGGTGCCCACACCCCGGCCTGGCGCGGTGAGCACTGCTCCCTGTACTGGGGCGGGGTGCCAGGAAGGTGGGGCCTCTCCCCAGGCTGGGATCACATGGCTTCTCCAAGTCTGTTTTCTCATCTTGAAAGTGAAGTTAGATGTGACCGTGACTATCAGATGCCCTCAGACCTGTCTCAGGGTGGGCAGGTGTGTCCCCCTCAGGACACACACTATCTGCCTTTGGAATTGTCTGCTCATGGGCGCCTCCCCCTTTGGCTGTGAGCTCCTTATTGATTTATTGAGTGAGAAATGGCCAGGCCGTGGAGAGAGAGTTATTTCTTCTTTCCTTCCAGCCTGAGGGGCTCTTCCAAGAGCAGACCTGAGACAGGATGTGGTGTGTGGAGCACACCTCGGCATTGTTCTGTGGTGTTTCTCACCAGCCCCTGTGCCTCATGGGTCAGTTGAGGGTCACTCCTGGGTATTAAGTCTCAGAGCTCTTACAGAGAGAACCAGGAAGCCCCCCCACCCGCATGGTGGGAACTAACTGTAGGTACCTCGTGCCCCCCCTCTGGTACACCTGGTCAGTGGAAGGATGCTAATGGAGCAGGAAGTGTGGTTGTGCTGCTGGAGGCCTGGGGGAGGGGCTGGGAGCAGCACAGCAGGGAAATCTGCCAGTGGGGGCCCTTGGGTGCCCACACCCTGGGCTTTGCCCTGTAGCCTCCAGATCAGCACCTGGGCTTTGTAGACCTGCAAGTGATGTGCATGGATTCTGAGGGTGGGGCAGACACCCCTGCCGTCCTCTGGAGAGGCTGTCCCAGCGGGACCCTTGGGGTGCCACCCTGCCCTGGATGTTGCTGCCTCACGCTGCCACCTTGTCCTTCAGTGCATCACCAACAGCACCCGGGAGAGAAAGATCAGCTCATCCCTGCAGCTCCCCGACCGTGTGCTGAACTTCCTGAAGGACCACTTCCTGATGGATGGGCAAGTCCGCAGCCACCTGCTGCTGCTGCAGCCACAGGCCCGCTACCAGCGCGTGGCTGTCCACCGTGTCCGTGGCCTACACCACACCTATGACGTCCTCTTCCTGGGCACCGGTGAGCACCTGCTGCCGGGCAGACTCAGAGGCCTGGGGGCGTGGCCACGGCACGTGGCTGTGGGGTGTGGGCAGCAGGCTCCACCCAGGGCCTGAATGCTGTCCTTGCTGCAGGGGATGGCCGGCTGCATAAGGCGGTGAGTGTAGGCCCCCGAGTGCACATCATTGAGGAACTACAGATCTTCTCGCCAGGACAGCCCGTGCAGAACCTGCTCCTGGACCCCGACAGGGTAAGGAGGCAGAAGAGACCGTCGGCACACTTGGGGTACCCCTCTGTTGACAAGCCATCAGAGAGTGGGGTGCTCCAGAGCATGAGAGGAGGCACTTGGCGAGTGGCTCTGGTTGGGCATGCGAGCCAGCTGTGCTGTGGGTGGTGGCGCTGGCTGCCCGTGCCTTCCCCTCATCCCCGTGTCTGTGCAGGGACTGCTGTATGCTGCCTCACACTCGGGTGTGGTCCAGGTGCCCGTGGCCAACTGCAGCCTGTACCAGAGCTGTGGGGACTGCCTCCTCGCCCGGGACCCCTACTGTGCTTGGAGCAGCTCCAAGTGCCGTCACATCAGCCTCTACCACCATGGGGCGACCTCCAGGTGAGAGCTTCTGAAGGCCCCACCCCCCCACCCCCACCCCCGTGTCCATCCCTGTGTACTTGGCCTCAGAGCGCCTTCCCCAGGCCCTTAATAATAATTGCACAGCTTCAGTGTGTCCACTGCCTTGGCATAATTATTAATCAGCTCCCCTTCTGACTCTCAGAAGTGTTGTAGTTCAGACAATAAATTGTTTGCCTCACTCACCTGTAAGGTGGGGATGTGATTTAGAAAATTACGAAGTGTCAAAAACAAAAGAAAGAGCTCAGCCAGTGTGGCTCAGTGGTTGAGCGTCGACCCATGCATCAGGAGGTCGCCAGTTCGATTCCCAGTCAGGGCACATGCCCAGGTTGTAGGCTCGATCCCCAGTGGGGGGCACGCAGGAGGCAGCCAATCGATGTTCTCTCTCGTCGATGTGTCTATTTCTCTTTCCCTCTCCCTTTAAAAAAATTATGAAGTGTCATAGCTATGACAAGCCTTGCTGGAGAGCGTGGATTGGCATGCAAGTGTGTTTAAATAACAGAACGTAAGGAATGTGAAACACAATCCGTTCACAAACCCATTAAACGTTGTTTTCAAAATAACTTGTTTGGGTTATAAAACATTTATATAGAAGGCTTAGAGAAAAGAGATGAGCCCAATTAAAATATAACTACCCCTCGTCCCACCACCTAGAGAGAATCACGATGAGAATTTGATGTGTATCCTGCCAGATTTTTCTAAATATGTGTAAAATAAAAAGCATGTATTTTAACTAAAAACAGGACCTGCCCCACTTGTGGTGTCCTTGCTTCACATAGGGCGATATCTGGTGCAGGTTTATATTTCACAAAACCACACATGAATACACACAGGTGCATTGGGAGGGACGCACCAAAAATGCTCCCTGTCATGATCGCTGGCTGCTGGTTTGTGAGTGATTTTTACAGTATTTTTAGCCTTTGTTTTTGGTCAAGTATTTTTGAGTGCATTAAACAAGTCCATGCATGGGCATTGATTTAAGAGACAGCTAGCCCTGGCCGGTTTGGCTCAGAGGTTAGAGTGTCGGCCTGCGGTCCAGAGAGACCCGGGTTCGGTTGCCGCTAAGGGCACGTACTTCGGTTGCAGTTTGTCCCCGGCCCTGGTTGGGTTGTGCGGGTGGCAACCACTCGATGTGTCCCTTTCATGTCGATGTTTCTCTCTCTCTCTCTCTCTCTGCCTCTCTCTCCCTCCCACTCTAACTGAACAACAACAACAACAACAAAAATGAAAAAAAAAAAGTCCTCAGGTGAGGACTAAAAAAAAGAGAGAAACAGCTATATGACCCGGCCAGGTGGCTCTGTTGGTTGGAGCGTCCACCAAAAGGTTGCAGGTTCGATTCCTAGTCAGGGCACATACCTAGGCTGCAGGTTCGATCCTGGTTGGGGTGTGTATGGAGGCAACTGATCAATGTTTCTTTCTCTAAAATCAATAAACTTATCCTTGGGTGAGGGTAAAGAGAAAGAGACAGAGAGAGGGGCAACTACACACATACAGAGCCAAGTGTCCTTCCCAACTTCTAAAGGCTCATCCTGCTTTTGTAATTCAGGGAAGTATTATAGTAACTTACTTGAAATAAATACTGTATCTATCACTGTATCTATCGACAGAGGAGATGCTGGTCTGCCTTTGATCCCTGCTCTGGACCTGGTGGCCCCTGAGCCCAGGCCATTGCCCAGGCCCTCGCCTACAGGGCTGCACCTAGGTTACGGGTGCGTGCTCACAGGCGCTCTGGCCTATCCCAGACTCTCTTTGGTCCTCAGGTCATGGATCCAGGACATCGAGGGGGCTAACACCAGGGACCTCTGCAACACTTCCATGGTCAAGCCCCGGGTTGCTGTACCGGCAGGTAAGGTGCCCATCAAAGGATGGAGGGAGGCAGGGGCCTAATTACTTAGAAGGCTCCTGAGTTCAGGGACTGGTGGGTATAAATGCCTTTCCTCCCGTCCTCGTCCCTCCAGCCTGCAAGCAAGGTCCTGGAAAGGGTGTCACAATCCCTGAAATTCTCAATAGTTGCCATTGTGGCAGGATGGGCACTGCTCAGAGGGAGGTGGGTGAGCTGGGGCTGCTGGGGCTGCCAGGCCTCCCTTACCCTATGTCTGTGCCTCTCCTGCCTGCAGGTGAGAAGCCATGTGAGCAAGTCCAGTTCCAGCCCAATTCGGTGAACACCTTGACCTGCCCCCTGCTCTCCAACCTGGCGACCCGGCTCTGGCTGCACAACGGGGTCCCTGTCAATGGCTCGGCCTCCTGCCGGGTGTTGTCCACTGGGGATCTGCTGCTGGCGGGCAGCCAGCAGGAGCTGGGGGTGTTCCAGTGCTGGTCACTGGAGGAGGACTTCCGGCAGCTGGTGGCCAGCTACTGCCCAAAGGTGGAGGACACAGTGACAGAGCGGAGGGGAAAAGGGTCTGTCATTATCAACACATCTCGGGTGAGTGCGCCAGCCCACGGCAAGGCCAGCTGGAGCGTGGACAAGTCCTACTGGACGGAGTTCCTGGTGATGAGTGTACTGTTCGTGTTCGTCATAGTGCTCCTGCTGTTGTTCTTCCTCTACCGGCACCGGGACGGCATGAAAGTCTTCCTGAAGCAGGGGGAGTGTGCCAGTGTGCACCCCAAGACCCGCCCTGTGGTGCTGCCACCCGAGACCCGACCACTCAATGGCGTAGGGCCCCCAAGCACCCCTCTCGACCACCGAGGCTACCAGGCCCTGTCGGATAACTCCCCGGGGACCCAGGTCTTCACCGAGTCAGAGAAGAGGCCGCTCAGCATCCATGACAGCTTTGTGGAGGTGTCCCCGGTGTGCCCCCGGCCCCGGGTTCGCCTAGGCTCTGAGATCCGGGACTCGGTGGTGTGACAGCTGACTTCTAGAGGAAGCCACCCTGGGTTCATGGGCCATGAGTGCTCAGAAGGGGCCCACTGGACTCTGCGCCGCGTGCCGCACAGCCCGGTGCCCGGTGCCCAGTGCCCGGCTCCCGGCAGTAGTGGGGCCAGCTGGCCTGCTGCTCCTCAAGTAGTGAGGCCCCTCCAACCAAGACAGCCATGGCCCCGGAGGTCCCGGCTGAAGATGGCGCCTGCCTAGGTGGGCAGAGCAGTGCTTCTTATGTAAGCTGAGCCTTTTGTTTAAAAAAACCATTGAAAATGTGAATTGAGAATGACAGACAACACAATGCCACACACACGGCCACTCCAGTTCCCAGCACCCAGCCTCGAGGCCTGTTGGGGGCTTTGGAAACTCATCCACCGTGGTGGTTGGAGACAGAGTTGGGAATCTCTCACTAGCTGGTCTCTTCCAGTCTCTGCCTTATTCCACTGCCACAGGCAGCCCGTCACTGCAGGGCCAGGGGCCAGGCTCCGGCTCCATGGGTCCTGCCGGCCACCAGCTGGCCAGGTTGTTACAGCCATCATCCTGTCACCTCAGGGACCGGAGGGCTCTGCGGCTCTGCAGCCCTCACAAGGCCCTGGGCTCAAGCCTCCTCTGGACCTTTCCGGCCTGTATCAGGCTGTTGCCACATGACAGCAGGCAGTGTGAGCTCAGGAGAATGCATGATGATATTCACCTTTCCCGCGGAACTCTAGGCGGACGCTGCTGTTGCCTGCCTTCCGCTGTCCAGCCTGAAAACCCGTGTGTCTGTCTCTGCCCCGTCATCCATCCCAGCCTTCACCCCCACACTTTACCTGCCTCCGATCTAAGTGATATTGACACTGCCCAGCAAAGGGCCCTGAATTTGTGTGGGTTTTATATTTTTTTAAATAAGATGCACTTTATGTTTGTTTTTTGTTTTTGTTTTTTTAATAAAATCTAAACTGAAATTGAATCGTGGCCCTTGGCCCTTCCTTTTAAAGGACCGTTGCTTTTCGAGGTTGGTCTAGTCTTCTGAGTTCTGGGGGTTCTGAACCTCCTGGTTCCAGGGGCTAGCTGACTACAGGGAATAGGATTTTTGTTTAACTCTTTAAAAAAATTTTTTAAATGCTCATACAATAAATTATTTTTTCTTTTGGTAAACGGTTCTATAATGTTAACGCATATAGAAATTCATGTACCCACTACTACAGTCAGGGTTCCCTCCCCCATGTACCCCTTCATATTCATCACCCCACTCTGACTTCCTTCTGGTCCCTGCTTTAGGGGTTAGTGAGTTCCAGTATGATCAAAGCCTTCTAGAAGTCCAGTCCTTACTCATAACTGGTGTTTGTAGCATCACGCATAGGATCAAAACTTCTAAACCTTTATTATTGATTAGTAGAAACAAACAGAGCGATGACAATGGCAGTGAGAAGGGGTGAGGCCCTGACATGGAAGGCCCTTTCCTGCCCGGGACAAGACTTCACAGTGCCAGCTCAACTGGGCCAGCTTGGCCGGCCCTGGCAACACAGGCGTAACCTTGGCCACAGCTCAGCAGTGACAAAGTTACTCTACAGGGTGCTGGGAAACAGGCTGTGGCTCCTGTCACAGGACGATCTTGAAGGAGCTGAACAAGAGAAAAGTGGGTTGGACTTTCTGCTGGAAGAGGAGGTTGAGGACTAAACCCAAACTTACCCACCTCTCCCCTAAGACCCTTTGGAATGAACTGTGTCTCACATCTGTCAGTCTCCTCTGAGGGGAGAGGTACCTTGAGATATTCAGAGGAGGCAGGGGGCAGTACCCCCATAATAATGTCCCAGACCCAGATGCCTCAGATGGGAACACTGTCATACCTGGCAAAGTCTGGTGAACGGGAAATGACGTGCTGGAATTCGGAGAGATTGATGGTCCCGTCCCTGTCAATGTCGGACTCTTCCAGAATCTGGAAAAGAGGGCGTCAGGCCAAAGTCCTCCTTCGGCCCCCCGGCCCGCCCCGCTGGGCCCAGCTGCTCACATTGTCGATGAGCTGCTTCATCTCTGAAGCACTGAGCCGAGTGTCCTCGCCCTCTCCCGTGAGGCAGTTCACGAGCTGGCTTAGGTCCTCTCTGTTCAAGGTCCCATCATCATCGAAATCTAGACAGCACACAGAAGCCCAAAAGGATGTGGTCAGGATGAACTCCCAGAGTCCAGGAATGACCCCAGCTCCCAACCAGCACCACCAGAAAGACCATGTGGAAGAGCCCGTGTTCCACCAGGCTCCTCCCAGTCCTCACCGAAGATGCGGAAGGCATAGTGGGACTTGATGTCTGGCGTTGCAGTATCACTGAACACACTGAGGAGGTCTAGGAAGTCCTCGAAACTCAAGCTGTCTCTGGTTGGGGAAGTCGAGAAGACCCTGCAGATTCGCTCCTTGAAAGGGTTGGCCTAGGAAGAGAGCCTCTGTGAATATCACAGGATGCAGCCCAGGTCACACTCAGACCCTACAGGGAACTGGAGGGAACACTTCGCAGAACCTGCACCATGAGTGCGGGCTCATGGGGGAGAGTGACTAGCGCTTTTCAGAAGACAGGAGGACCAGTGACACAGCTGGGGAGGGCACAGGGACAGCTACTGGGAGTCAGAGGTTAACCAACAGGTAGGCCTGGGGGCAGAGAAGGAAGAGGAAGGCATCTTAAGCAAACAGAACATATAATTAAATACTTATTGTGTTACAGGCATTAAGCCAGGCCCTCTGCATGGAAATTTTCACAGCAGCCTTATGGAGAGGCAGTCAGCCTCTGGAAGAGGGTTTCTCAAACTTGAAGGTTACACAACTCCTCTTAAAGAACCAAACTTCTTTTGAACCTCCACGAATGTGTTCCTAGAATCCCGATTTGAAAAACATTCTAGATCATTCTACTGGGTGATTTAGGTAAAGCCCTTGTCCCAGGAAATTAGAGCTAAGCAGAGAAAAGACCAGAATGGGGCCAGTGACTGCATGATGAGGGGCTGGCACCTTGAGCTCTGGAAGACTGAAGATCTGCTCCAAGGACACTCGTGCCTGCAGTGACTCCTCCACACTCCTGTGCTCCTGGGGAAGCAGCTCACAGAACCGCCTGTGGGCTCTGGCAGAAGGAGGGGAACCTGTTGGCCCACCTTCCTGTGTGTATTAAACCCCCATTCCCTGCCTTGCTGCGTATTACACACCAGGTGAGGAGCCAAGTCGGGTACAGAGATTTTCTGAGTCATCAGTCTCGATAAGACAAAGGGAGATACGTCACAAGACAGTACAGGCTGGGAGTCCATTCTTGCAATTGGTATTTGCTGAGGACCTACTGTGTGCCAGGCACTTGTGCTGGGCACGGGTTCTAGAGCTCCCTGAGGGATAGAGAGGTTGGGGAAGGAGCCAGAAGTTGGCTCAGATGAACAGGGAGAAATAAGCAAAACTCCAGGGATCTCCTGCTCCGCAGGGCCTCCCTCTTTACAGCAGCTACCTTTAAGTATCTACTCAGCAGGATTACTGTAGCCAAGAAAGCCCAGGCCACAGAAAGCTTGGCAAACAAAGCGAGAAGGGTGTACCAGCCCCAGTTCAAATCCTTTCTTGGAGTGTATTCTTAGGCAAGTTACCAGAATTCTCTGAACCTGTTTCGGGAGGATTAAATTAGGTAATGTACGGTAACTTAGCACCGTTCCTGGGGCAGGATAGGTGCTCAATAAGCGTTAACGGTTACCGTATTTATTACTCAGGTAAACTTGGGAGAAGGAGCCTCGCTCCCCAAGGCTTCTCTGGCTTTGCCAGTCGGCGGTCAGCCGAGAGCCACAGCAGCCCCCGCCGGACTGGGGCTGGAGGTTCGGTTATGCAGAAGTCAGTGGAGAGCAAGGTCAAAGGGAGCCCCGCTTCGGCTGGCGGCAGCTCAGCAGGGCCCCGGCACGGCGGGGAGGACGTGCGGGCAGCAGGGCGCAGCCGAGGGCTGGGGCGCGGGACTCCAGTTCCGGCTCAGCCGCTCCCTTGGGAGGCCTGTTTTCGGTACGACGGAGCCCCCCGAATCTATCTCTAGAGGATCCCGGAGGCCAGGTTCGCGACAGCACTTACAGGAGGATCTCCTGCTTGGTCAGGAACGTCAAGTCCTGGAAGGCAGAACGGGACGGGGGGTCAGCAGGCCGCCCGGAGGTCGCGCCCGCCCTGCCGCCCGCTCCGGGACCCCGCTCCCGAGCGCAGGCCCGCGTGCGAGCTCCCCGGGGCCCGGCGTCCCGCGCACCTGGTACTCGGCCAGCAGCTCCTTGGACAGGCGGCTGCCCGAACCCCCCATCGCCGCGCCGCGCGCAGTTCCGCCAACTCGTCTCGGGGCGCCGGCAACTTTCTCACTTCCGCCCTCGGGCCGCGCCACCGCCCGATCCCCGCGACAACCGCTCCTGGGGCCACCGTCCCCGGGCCCGCCCCCTCTCCTTAAAGCGCCCAGGAATTCCCAGCTGGGTTCAGCCGCCGGCTCCCGGCTCCGGGCGGTCCCTGGTGAGCTGGAGGCGGGGCCCTGGGCGGGGCCGGCCGCTCCGGGGCGGAGCCCAGGCCTCACGGCCCCGCCTCCGGGGATGGGCGGAGCGGGCCACGCCGCGTGCGTGCGTGCAGACCGCGCATGCGTCGAAGGCACCGCGACCTCGCACTGGCTGCAGTAGGAGCTTGAGGCAGGTCGCGCGGAGCGTCCTCCTCCCTTGCAGGTGGTGGTGGTGGCAGCTGCGGCCGCAACGGTGAGGTCCGGTAAAGGACAGCAGGGAAGTCTCTGGAACCAGGGTAACCGGGAAACTCGCTGAGTGGCCAGAGGCCCGAGAAAGGCTTTTCCATCCAGACGTTACCACCAGGCTTCTGCCTCAGGTGTTGGAGCCCCCGTGTCGCCTTTCCGGAAATAACCATAAATTTACTGCCCACTGAGGCTCTTTGCCGCAGACCCACTGAATGCCCAACGCTGTGCCTAGTTGCTTCGATTCTTGCAACAGCTCTGCAAGGTAGGTTCCCATTTACAAATGCATGAATGAATGAAACTATTACGAAAGGTGAAGATTCCAAACTGGCCAGGGCTCAATATGTATTTCTCATTCAGCAAAAATATGTGCCAATCTACAGGTGGTGGCATTATGAGTAATTTCTGTGTTTTCAAAACATTTTACCGAAGGTATATATTACTTTTGTAGGCAGAAGAACAAGTAAAGGTTATTTGAAAATAAAAATAAAATCTGTGGGAATGGGGTAGCATCCTGTATTTTTTTCCCCCTCTTCTGATTATTTCAGGTCGGCCCATGGCTGTTGCACATGGTTCAAATGGAACTTCCTATTTGCTACCTGCAGACAAGGAGGACTGGGAAGAGCAAGACATTCCTGACTTTGTCTATGGACAGAAGGAACTCGTGTGGGAAGGGGTTCAGTGGCTGAGGAATGTGCCCAGCCGCCCAGATGTGGACACGCTGCCTCTCTCTCGTTTTGACTCTGCACTCTGCTCAGCCTGGAAGCAGCGGATGGAGCTGGGTCTGTTCCGCTACTGCTTGGGGGAACTGCAGACCCAAACCCTCCCTGGATCCATGGGTTTTGTGGCTCAGCTGAATGTAGAGCGAGGGGTGCAAAGGAGGTGCCCCCAGAACATCAGTAGTGTGAGACAGGCATTTGACCCAGAACAGTTTAATTTCAACAAAATCCGGCCAGGAGAGGTCCTCTTCCGGTTGTGCAGGGAGCCCGATCTCCCAGGTGTAGTTCTCCAGCAAGAGAATATCCTTGTGATGATCAATGTCAGCCCCCTGGAGTGGGGCCATGTGCTGCTGGTGCCAGATCCCATTCGGGGACTTCCCCAACGCCTGCTGCCAGGTGCCCTTCGGGCCGGGCTGGAGGCTGTGCTGCTGAGCTCACACCCAGGCTTTCGCGTTGGCTTCAACAGCCTGGGTGGCTTGGCCTCAGTGAACCACCTCCACCTGCATGGCTATTACCTGGCTCACAGATTGCCCGTGGAGGGGGCACCAAGTGAGCTGCTGGACCCTGGGGGCCATTTGCACATGCTCCAGGCTGTCCCGGCTCCTGGCTTCCTCTTTTATACCAGCGGGCCAGGGCCGGACTTGGAAGCCCTAATAAGCAGGGTATGTCGAGCTACTGACTATCTGACTGACCATGAGATTGCACATAACTTGTTTGTGACCCGGGGAGCCCCACCTGGAAATAATTTACCTTCCTCAGCCCTCACAGGGGTCCGGGTAATCCTCTGGCCCCGGAAGTCCAGCTTTGGGATAAAGGAAAGTGAGGCGTTCAACGTTGCCCTCTGTGAGCTGGCCGGGCACCTCCCTGTCAAAACATCCCAGGACTTCAGCAGCCTGACAGAGGCAGCTGCGCTGGCCCTCATTCAAGACTGTCTGTTGCCCCCAGCCCAGGCAGAAGAGGTACGAGCAGCACTGGTGGCCTTGACAGCCCAGGAGGAACAGTAATTTTTCTGGAAGTATTTGTTTTTCTAACTGACCTATGTCCCTTTCAAGAAGCTGCTTACCCTGGCCAGTCAGGCTTAGTGGTTAGAGCGTCAGCCCACAGATGAAGCAAGCTGCCCATAACAGTCATTTGGGCATTTTCGTGACTGCCTTCTCACTGGTCTCAGCCTAAGAGGAGGGGTCAAGAGTGATAAAATCTCTTTCAAGAGGGGATACCTTGAAATAAATCAAATGAGTGAGCCCTCATGGATGGATCTGCTTTTCTTACCTTTCTTCTTGGACAAGCCCCAGGGATGTCCAACCTACTTTTGAGAAGGGGCCATGCACAAGAGTTATATACTCCTGACTTTTTTTTTTTAATCCTCACCCAAGAATATTTTTCTATTTATCTTCAGATAGAGTAGGAAGGAGGAAGGGAGAGAGAGAAACATCGATGTGAGAGAGGCATCAAATGGTCACCTCCCACAAGACTCCGACCAGGGCCCAGGACCAAACGCAACTGAGGTATGTGCGCTTGGCCAGAATTGAACCTATGACTCTTTGGTACACAGGCCGACGTTCCAACCACTGAATCAAACCAGCCAGGGCTATACTCCTGACCTTTTTTTTAAAAATATGTTTTCATTTATTTTATTTTGAGAGAGAGACATCCATCGGCTGCCTCTTGTACTCCCCCTAGTGGGAATCGAGCCCACAACCCAGGCACATGCCCTGGCTGAGAATCGAACCAGGATCTCAGTCTATGGGATGATGCTCAATCCACTGAGCCACACTGGCCGGGCACTCCTGACTTTTTATATGGACTTTTGTCTTTCTTTCACATTGAATCTGAGAAAAATGATAGTTTATGTGCCTCTGGCATGGTGCTCCTACTTCCTCTGGTCTTGCCCTCTACTTGTTCCCGTTTTGCCTTCCACTGAGTTTTATTTCTTCATTTCTCCTCTGCATTGAGCCCTGCTCCATCCAGATGCCCTTCTTATAGCATATTCTTCACTTGCCTGGCCACCTTGAGTTTTCCTCGAGCTCTAACACTGATCCAAGTGTTCTTCACATACTTCATCTCGTGTGAAAACAAATGGTCCTCACAGCTTTAACGGTACAGCTTCTCTTAATACCCCATTTAACAGACAAAGAGATGGCAGTGGACAGAGATTTAGTAGCTTGTCTAAGGTTACATAGTTCATCAGTAGTTGGGTTTGGGAATGCAGCACAGGCAATTAGATACCAGAAGCTGAGCTGGGACCGAGAACTTGTGACTGCCTCTCCAGGTAGCGGCTCCTGTCACAGTGGTGCTGTCCTTAACAGTTCACTGGCCCAGATATGAGACTCAGGTCGCCAGGTGGTGGGTTCTCTATACCCAAGCCTCAGTGAAGCTTTTATGTAGAATTTTAAAGGTTTTAATCTCAGATATTATAAAGTCTCACTGTAATAAGGCAGAGTATGTACTACAACCCATCTCATAAGAAAAAATATTCTAACTTAAATTTAAATGTTTACATTTATATGTTGAACATTTAAATTTCTACTAAAATTTTTTGGTTGCCCTCGTGTTTTGGGCACATTGCTGTCATTTTAGCTTAGTGCCTCTTTCTGCAACCCTCTGCATATACAAGCTCTACTTTGTTTTGCTTGTTCACTCTCTGAAGGGTGTGCAGGTGACCATTTTAGCAAAGTGGATTTTGTGTCCAAGGTTTTGGGCCCAAATAGCAGGATGTTCCCACTTACTCCCTAGGACTGATGTTTAGAGAAAAGCCTTCTCTGGCCCAAATAAGTTTTTCCATAAAAAAGGGGTGGGAGGAGCCCTGGCCAGTTTGGCTCAGCGGTAGAGCTTCAGCCTGAGGATCAATGAGTTGCGGGTTTGATTCTGGCCAAGGGCATGTACCTCGGTTGCAGTTGGTTGCAGTTCGTCCCTGGCCCTGGTCGAGGTCGTGTGGGAGGCAACCAGTCAATGTGTCCCTCTCACGTAGATGTTTCTCTCTCTCTTCCTTTCTCTCCCTCTCAGTCTATCTGAAGATAAGTAGAAAAATATCCTTGGGTCAAGATTTAAAAAAGGGGGGGCGGTCAGTAGGTTTTCTTTTTGGTGGTACTTCTCAACCATTTATATACTTTTTGAGTTCTCAAGAAAGGGATTTAGGCGGAAAATCTTTTCTAATCTTGAGGATGGATTGCTTAGGGGACCCTTTGTTCTCAGGGCCTTGGTGGTTGGAAGGGGCTCATCCAGTGGGTGCTTCTCCATCTCTTTGCTTGCTTTTTGATGAAGGGCCTCATGCACTAAGAGGTTTTGAATTTGATCTAATGGGAAACCCTGAAGAGTTTTCAGTGAGGGGAATGACGTCAGCATTTTAGGAAGAATATTTTAGCTGTATTGGAGGGATGGATGAATAGAATCAGAGAGTCCGATTAAGAGGTTGGTGAGCACTGGCCATTGTGGGTCAGTGGTCAGTGTCGGCCCTCACACTGAAGGGTCACAGGTTTGATGCCTGGTCAGAAGCATGTACCTGGGTTACAGCTGATCCCCAGCCCTGGTCAGGGCACGTGTGGGAGGCAACCAACCCGTGTGTCTTTCTCTCTCCACACCCCTCCCCCCATCCCTTCCACACTCTAAAAACTCAGTGGAAAAAATATCCTCAGTGAGGATTAACCAAAAAAAGGTTGCTGAATGGTGGCAATCAGGGCAAGAAATGATGATGGTTCGGGCCCTAGAACAGTACCTGGAACACTAAATATTTGTCAAAAGAAAAAAAAAAGAGTGTCCTGGAAGGCAAAGGACCCCAAAGCATTTCAAGGAGGGGCTGATTAAGAGTAGCTTATGATGAAGAAAGATCTAGAAGTCTATGAATCAGAAAATGCCCATGTCTTTTTAATGGAAGGAAATTTAAGTTTTTAAAAATATGTTGACTTTGGAGAGAGGGAGGGAGGGAGAAACATTGCCTTGTTCTACTTAATTATGCATTCATTGGTTGAGTTCTGTATGTGCACTGACCCAGGATGGAAACCTTGGTGTATTAGGAGGACACTGTAACCAACGGAGCCACCGGGCCAGGGCTAGAGGAGGGAAATTATAAGACTCCTCTAGATTAAGGCACATAGGATAATCTTAGGGTGACAAGATGAGTTGAGTTTGGTGGAAGTGGCCATTAGAAGTCAGGAAGACCACGAAGGATCAGTCTGATAAGGTTGTTACTCCTTAGTGGAGCTGAGCGCCTGGGGACACGTGTGCTGGCTGTCTCTCCCTGTTGCAGAGACTGCTCAGGCATGGTTATTTTTAAAAGTTTAACAAAGGCAAGCGGATGTGTCTACCGAACAGAGTTGGCCAAATTTCACGCTTTGCCCGCTGGTTCAAGAAAGGGTGAGAGTGGGGTCGACCAAAGTGGCGTTGAAATGGAAGGACTACAAGTCCCATGATGCACCCTGTCAGCTGCCACAGGAAAAGGGCTGCGAGTGGCCCTTTCATTGCCAGCCCCGCTCTCTCCCCGTCCCTCCCCCCCAAGATGGCCTCGGAATGCGATTGACTGGGTGTGGTTCCCTCGAAGCCCCGCCCCCAGAACGCTACTCCAATGGGGGTCACTCTAGTGGCCTTGGCGACAATGGGCGGTGGCAGTCGCTTGCAGAAGGAGCCACCACCTGGTCTCCGCCCGGGTTTCGCAGCTAAGAGCGAACCCCGTGGGGAGCGGGCTCCCCCTCGTGATCAACGGGGACAGCAAGTCCTGTGGAAAGAACGAGGAGGCAGTCCCGGAGGCCCAGCAACGCCGGGGAAGAAATGAGCGACCAGCTGAGCCCAGTCCCAGGCCACTAGGAGGGGACCCATCAGTCCTGTCTGCTCTCCTCGGGCGGAAACCTCGGTGGGCAGAGTCTGGGCCTTAACTGGCGGGGGCCTGGCTGCAGTGTGTACACATGGAGAAACTGAGTCATGGGATGGTAAAGGGCTGGCCTAGGGGACCTTTGATCTTATGCTCTATTTACAAAGCGAAGCTCCCCCCCTTCCCAGGCCAGCCCTCTTCTCCAGCCATCCCCCTTCCCATTAAAAAAAACCAAAACGACAGGGCCTTGCCAGCCCCGTTCAGCTCCTGCTGCACCCCAGTATGTTGTGTGGAGTGATCTTTGATGACTGGGACTTGTCAGCAAATCTAGCATATCATGGGTATCCCATGGCCCCCACTACCTATGTGGAAACAGCCCGTTTTGCAGTGTGATTGTTCTGGTCTGGAGGAGCAGCAACATTCCATTATAACACCAGGAAGGTACTAATCCTGCAGGCCTTCCCAGGCTTGGAGGGAAGTCTGAGTATATTTCACTCCCACCCCTGTTCCCCCAGAATCGACAGGATGGAGCCAAATACCTCTAAGACCAGTGAATCAGAGGAAGATTATGTTGAAGAGGAATCTGAGGAGGAGTGTGATAAGGGGGAAGTTATCATCTTTCCTAACCCTTCTCAGCAGACCCTCTCAAAGGCTGACCAGACAATTGGGAATGGAGTTGCGTTATCCATTGTTGCCACGAAAATTCCGAAAAAAGTCTTAGCCCCAGCTGATTCAGAGGACTTAGAGGTTGGGAGAAGAAAGAGAAGGCGGAAATGCAGGTAACTGTTCCCTGCACCCCCTCACCTGCCTGTCTCCAGACTCACCCCCTAGCCTCCCTGTGCAGTTGGGCTGGGATCCAGGGAATTCCCTTCAGCCTGGGAAGGATGAAGGAATACTGAAGCATCGTGGACCTTTTGATACAACAAAAACAAAATTCAGAACCATTTGGGCTGGCTTAGTGTAGAATTTCAGCACGTTTATGTCCTGGTTCTCAGGTAGCTTCTGGAAAAAAATGAATTGCGTTGTGAATTTGTTGGGTGTTTCTTCATCTGGGTGCCTGGCAGCCCAGGATCTGCCCTTCTCTGCCATCGTGCTTGATTTCCGCTCTTCCTCCATTCTAGAGCCCTGGCCATCAACCTGACCAACTGCAGATATGAGAGTGGTAAGCACCTGGCTCATCACTCACACCACTGTGAATAAGAAGGCACCTTCTGCTGTCACGTTCACTTTGGGGATGGTCCCCCAATCAAGCTCCCAGCCTGTGGATTGCTTAGGCCACCTGCAGACTGTACTGAGCCCCCTGGCTCACGCACTGGTAGCTGAAACATCACTGTTCAGTTCGTCTTGGTGGTAGGGTGGGAATCTCCTCAGTTAACTAACAAGAAAAAAAATGATTGAAAGT